CATGAAATATAAAAAGAAAACTTTGTGAATGTAATTCTAAGATTACTTCAATGCACAAACAAAATTTACAGAATAGCCAATTATTATCTTTCCTGCATTTTAGAAAACCCTTTTCCATATGCGACTACATGAAAAATTTAAAATCCTACTTGTTGTGAATGGTAAACAGACATTCTGTTTTTTAGTTTAATACTGAGAATAACAATGAATGATTAATTTTGGTTGTTCAGTTGATTGCTTTCCAGTTTCTGTAGTGACAAATGATTTAACTTTGTTGTTTGCTTCCCTGTCTCTAGTGACAAATTATTAGTCTTTGCGATTAGTACGTCTGTGTGTATGTATGTATGTGGGTATGTGTGTGTATCCATGTCTGTGTGCATGTCATTTCCATTTATATCTCAAAAACCAATCATCAGATTTTAATGAAACTTGGTGCATAGATGCTCTGGGATAATGTGCAGACCTGATTAGGTTTTGGTTGATATCAATGCATATTAATTATCTAATTTGCATATTGATAGTAAATTGTAAGCATTTTCACTTGTTTCTCGTGTTCCATTCAGATTTGATTAGATTTTGGTTTAAATCCATGCATATTAATTACCTAATTCGCATGATAATTAGCTAATTTTTAGTAGTTCTATGACTGTTTCTCTAATTGAATTTTGATGAAACTTGGTGCATAGAAGCTCTGGGACAATGTGCAGACCTGATTTGTTTGGGGTAAGTTTACTAATTACCTAATTTGCATAATGATTAGTGAATTTTCGGCTTTTCCACTGATATCTCAAGTACTAATCATCACATTACAATGAAACTTGACTAAAACCTGTGCATATTAACATAATTTGCATAATGATTCATAATTTTTCGGCTTTTCCATAGATATCTCAAGTTCTAATCACATTTGAATGAAACCTGGTACATTGATGATTAGTGTTGTTGCACAGACCTTGTTTGAAAGGTTAATTAATGTCTCCAATACACACAGGAGTTCTTTCTAAGCTTTTAATTTGCATGTGTGTTTTGGGTGTTTTGTATGTATACTGCATCATGTCTCTGACAAACTACTGTTAATGTCTAAAACACAACTAATGACTATTTGTTGACCAATCACATTACACAGTTCTTTTTGTTAGTCTTTTGTAAGAGGTGTTAGTTAATTAGCCCAATCCAAGACCATCAAAGATCTAACATCCTGGTACTACTGGGAGTATTGTCATTATAACAGCAAGTACATGTTCTACCAATGTTATACCTTGATTGTTGCAATGTTCAAACATCCTAGTAGTCTTTGGGAAAATAAGTGAGATGGTGAATTTGTAAGAAAATACCATGACCTTTAGAGGTCATGCATAGTACCAGGATGTTTGACCTTTAGAGGTCATGCAAGGTACCAGGATGTGTGACCTTTAGGGGTCATGTAAGGTACCAGGATGTGTGACCTTTAGGGGTCATGCATTATACTTTTCATACTTGTTCATTCATAGCCCATTCCTCAACAGTGTCTTAACTTAATTTTGGATATTTGTTGATATTCTGAAAAACTTATTCTAATATATTTCTGAAGATCAATGGATTTACCAAAGTTTTGACATTGTTTGCTGCCTTTCTTGTTCTATGTGAAGGGGAATCAGTCAGTATTAATTACAACTTCTGTCATCAATTCAGGCATATCAAATCATATCATTATGGTTTTGGTTTTACACTTAAAATGATGCTGTCATCACAACTATGCATATGTATAGAAAGGGGTCATACAACACCAAATGTCTACTTGTTGTGCATTCATAAGCATACTTGTGAAATCAACAGTTGTCAAAATTATGAGTTGTCCCTGGTATGTCAGAGTAATTTTTGGTGATAAAATACTATTTACAATTTTGATTGATCCAACAATGAATTTTTTAATATTTAACCACTATTTATGACAATTTTAACCAAAAAGGTGTTGTGCACAATTTCCAAAATATTTTTGTTTGGTAAAGAAGTTACCAACGTTAACGAATCTGAATGACAGACACTGCTCACATCATGCTATTGACTGATTCCCATATTGTATTGCATCCATCACTTGAGCTCAGTATCTATTCTTGATTTCCATTTTCTGCGTAAACCTAGGGTCGGTAACTCTGCACGTACAGAACTTGATTGGTTAGAGCCCAAAACAAATATTAATGATTCTGGTCATAAAAATGTACATGTCATAGTTGTGAAAAAGAAACAGAAAATTCAAATTTTCGTGAAAATTCAATAAAATAAAACATGCGTGCATATTCATTTGGAGTAGAAATTGGCAGAAATGTCTTTGACTGAATTTAGCATGTACCGGTATGTTCATGCTGAAGTCCAGAATTGATGTAGGCATTGTGCTGCTTTATGTTGAATGCTTTGCACCCGCTTGTTTTCTATATATAGTGCACGGTGAATGGTCAGAATGGCAGAGTTGGGGGGCATGTAGTGTCTCTTGTGGTCGAGGACTACAGACAAGAATGCGTGCTTGTGACAATCCTCTGCCGGCAAACGGAGGTCGTGATTGCCGAGGATCTACCATGGACGACAGAGTCTGTGAACCCAAAACATGTCCTAGTAAGTTCACATCACCTCAAAAGCTTTCAGAATTAAAAATCAACCACAATTCACAAATTTTAAACCCACATAATTATTTCATAGTATTTCCAAATTTTTGATCAAAACTTGTGATTAATAATAAATGAAGTCTATTTAATTAAAAAATTATCCAAAAAATCAATTTAGAAAAATATGTAAAAACTGACACAATTGTGTCATGCAAAATTATGGCACTCAAAGTTGATGGTATATTTGTAATGAATTGAATACGTGATTTTCCGAACAATTGCGAGATCTCGCGAGATGCATGAAAGACGCGCGTCGAACGTCTGCTGCAAAAATCGAACGATTTGATTTTGAACTAGAATTTCTTTATTTCGCAGCTTACATTGACCGGCTGATCTTCGACAGAGGAATATTGCTTCCGAATACCCTTACTTAATCGAAATTGCCTATCACGAAATGTGGACAGTACATTATTAAGCATCGAAATGTCCCCAAAATACTTTCGCGTTTGTCGAATCCCACGCGATGTTTGACGCGACTACGACGCTATGACCTTTGTTTGTCCTGTTTTTACGTTCGATTTCATGCATAACGCGTGATTCTCGCAGTGTACGGAAAATGGTCTATTCAGAAGTACCTCATCATAAAATTTACACTAAACTCGATGATTTATTTCATAAAACTTAGAAGATAGTTTTTACAGTGAGGGGCACAAAGCTGTACCTTAGCTTAGCTTATAAATATATTTATAAAATTTTTCAAATACAGTAGCTTTCATATAAATATAAATATTTAATAATAATTGGTCTGAGAGCTTCCCATTGTATACTTCCATAGTGCATGCATGACTCCACGTTGCATAGCAATTGCCAACATATTCAAAATGAGGCACTTGCTGATTGGATATATGTTGAACTATCTCATTAAAATTAATTAAAACTAATGATGATGTCATAATACAATTTCTAGATTAGTCAATTTTGATTTATAAAAAATGAATATTTGTAACATGTTTTTAACAACCACAGCTTTACGCTCTTCACTGTATACTTAATAACACTTATATACACATAAATAAGTAATATTTAGAAACATTGTGTTTTGGATTTTGGAAACATTAAATTTACACTAGAATTTCATGGTCGTTTTAAAACACATTTGGAAGGGCATATGACTTTATAATATTTTGCAACCTGACTACCTGAGGGCACACAGCTTGTAGACAATTCCCCTAAAAATCAATGTCACTATAGTGACAGATAATTTAGGGAGGTGAGTTAGGTTGCGAGTATGTAAATTTGTTTTCAATATTCAAAGCAAAATCAAGATTCCTCAAAATGTCTTCTATTAATATCCCAAACCTAGGAACCTAAAGGCAACCAGTAAATTGCAATGAAAGTTGGAACCATCATGTATTCTTTTAGTTAATTTCTAAATAATAAAAAATTCCCTAGTTAGTTGATTTCTTTCCGTCATGTCAACAATTCCCAATAGTAGCTTCAATGTTTCCTGTTTAGTGTCACTGTGTATGCGATATATATTCCCATATATACCATCTCAGAAGTATATAGTTACTGTAAAATACTTTATTTTCGCTTGGAATTTATTTTCGCTGAAGGAATGATTCAGTGTAAATAAAATCCAGCGAATTTACCTTTTTTTTTCTATATTTTACAATCAACTTGTCAAAAATCAATGAAAATAAATTCCATACAAAACACCCAAAATGTCTTTTCAGCGAAAATTAATTCCAGCTAAAATAAAGTATTCTACAGTAGTAGACACGCAACTATCTCATCGAAAAAGTTCAACCTCCGGTCATATGTACGAAACAATCTTTGGAAAAATAACATTATGCAAATTATTAACTGGGCTTAGGATCTCAAAACGCGACAAGTGATATCCAATCGTAAACATATATTCACGTAGCCTGTGATATGCTGATTTCTAACAACATTTTACAATAAAAAGAAAATTTAATGAAATGATACATCCTCTCAAATGCTACTCATCAGTAGTAAAACAATGTATTTATGTCACCAGTCAGTAATTTAGTGATGTCATCATTTTGTTTAGAACAGAGAGTGAAAGTGGGAATTATGTACTGTGAATAGTTTGCCTTTACTGTAGTTTACCGTAGCGAGCATTCCCGCACCTAAGTTTACGTATATATATTACTGGTCATTGGGAATCGTAGTTCTATTATACAAGGATGGAATACAGATATGATACATAATTCGTTTCACATTAGCTCTTGCAATTATCTCTAATATTTGCTGAAAATTTTGTTTTTACCTTGCCTGTATCATCAAAGATGGAAGGAAAGGTATATTAGGCGGAAAATGTCTGTCGCCGTTGTTGTCGTTAATAATTGTTAATGTGTGCACAATAACTTTACTAATTCTATTCCAAACTTTATCAAACTTGGTCACCTAATTCATCAGTATAAAGTCTTCCCTGAGTTTGAATAACAGATGTCCTGTGTGAAAATATTCATGCAAAAATTGAGGAAATCTGATAAAATATTTGACTGATCGCTGGTGATATACATTCAAAGGCCACTGATCCCAGTGAGAATATGCATTGCTATTATAGAGATTTTATATGACTAATTTAAAAACGCACTTGAAAAAAAGATTGCAGTGTTTGAATATGTAGATTCTCAGGAGGCAACAGCACTGTTGACTGTCCTCCACTGGACACCAACTAACTATTTAAGCTGATTTGCATACAAAGCAGAGCTTGCAACATGTAAGTTATTTCTAGAGAGCATTTTTTTTTACTTTTCAAATAATACAATAGTCACACACTGAATATATAATAAGGCAGTTCATATTTGTCTCAGTAAATCATTAATTTTTGACAGACACCTGTACAAAATACTTGGACAAAAGCCAGCTAAGATTTTCGTGTTATCATGAATCTATTCACGTCTAAATGCAGCACTTTTTTTCTGAGATGAGGCATTTGTTTTTATACTAAAATATCTGAATTACTTTGAATAAAGATTATGTCCCTTAAAATAATTAAACAAATTCGGCACCAAGGTTTTTGTAAGATATTTACATCAATCAAAGACATTCGGTAGACTGCTTTCCCACTGCTGTTTTAATCTTAAAACTTGTTTGTATTCAAAATTAATTATGACAATGCATATTCATATTAACAAACTATGATAAAGGAAATAATATTATACAACAAAGGGCAAGGCCACCAGATTTCAACTATGTTTATATATTATTATAGTATTGTTTCATAACTTTTTTTTTCTGCAAGCAAAAGATTATTCCCGGCGGAAAGTACATCAATAATTCTTCAACTGTACTCTTATTAGTTTATTAATATCTAGAGCCTTAGGGGCAAGATTGCAATAGTTACTCTATTTTTTACTATTTTTAGTGGCTTCAGTACATGTGAGGAAGCCATTACACATAAAAGGAGAGAGCTTTAAGTAAAAATCTGTTGTAGGTTGACTACCAATGCCTCTAGAATGTGATCAAGAGAGACTCTATTTTTAGCTTCGCTGTCATATGTGGAGTGGAGCTTGTCATATGTGTGATTGTCCTTTGTGTCTACTTTCTACTGTTTCAACTTGTTGTTGAAAGCCACAAACCCAATGGCTTTGATATTATACATATAGGTACCTCAGGTGAATCTTTCTCAGATTTGTTAATTTCACGATGATATCAATTCCAAATTTTTGACATAAACTAATATTTTTTGCTATTTGATATTATAGATTTGTTCATTTTGTAATGATATCTTTAATTCTTTAATTTTGATAAATATTTTTGCAAGCTTGATGGCTTTGGGATTATACATATACAGGTACCAATCTCCTAATTTTGGAGCCAACAGACAAAATTTAAGTCAATTTTCAGTTTTTACTCAAAAATTTAGCTATTTTTGAAGGAAAGTGCATAATATAAACAAACTATTTAAGGAAACTGGTAGTGAAAAGGTTACACTCAAGCAGCTTTATGGATATTTACACTCGCTTTGAAGGCTTTTATGTACATAAACAGAAGCAGAATTTGTTTGCAAAGGCCATGCTTGACCTCGGTCATATAATTTTTCAGTTAATGGTCAATATGGTAGATGGTCCGAATGGTCCGAATGTAGCAAATCATGTGGAAGAGGATTCAAGTCACGTGATCGTCATTGTAACGACCCTGTTCCCCAGTATGGTGGAAAAGCATGTACTGGCAAATCACATGAACAGGTGCCGTGTAACATCAAACCCTGTCCGGGTAAGTCATTTCAAACTGAATATGTCTATTAAAATAGGGTTAAAAACTTATTATATTAATGTCAAATATGTATAAAAAACCCTATGCTAATATTCATACAAAAGCCCCTTGCATCAGTGTGTAAATATGTATAAAGCCCTCTAAGTTAGCCCAACTATGTATAAAAGCCCTTACGATAATGTGAATATGCATAAAAAGCTCCTGTATAAGTGTAAATATGTATAAAGGCCCTTATGTTAATGTAAATTTGCAAAAAAAGCCCCCTATGGTAATGTAAATATGCATGAAAAGCACCTTGCATCAATGTGTATAAAAGCCCTCCTCCCAGCTTAGATACACATAAAAACCTCTATATTTATACCCTCCTATCTCAATTAATTTCAGTTGATGGAAAATGGGGTCCATGGAGTCCTTGGAATGAATGTAGTGAGACATGTGGGGAAGGAACTGAGACACGTACAAGACAGTGTAATAATCCTGCACCTAAAGATGGTGGTCTACAGTGCCTTGGATCTGATGTACAAAGTCAAATGTGTAAAATACAGACATGTTCGGGTGAGTGGGATTTCAGATTGTTGTGTCTTAATAGTTAGGTAAAAAAAAAAAAATTGGTATTTCCGCTAATGGTCTTTCTAAGTGTGGTTCTGATATGTAGTTCGTACTGGCATGCTGAAAGTCAATTTAACTAGATCACTTAGAAAAATGTTTCCTTTGTTTGTTGTATTACTCAAAACAATGCTTTAGACATGGCTTTTTATGATTGACCTTTTCTATTTCAAATAATATGTTTAGTGACATATTTTGAACAGATTATGAACTTGCCATTTGCTTCATTCTAAATCTGTCACCACGACAACACTCTTTTCCTCATTCATGTGTTATTCACCACCAGACTTTCTCTGCCTAATTTTTCTGCACTTTTTTCTTATATTCTTCAATATTTCTGGAAATGAACCCTATTTTTGGAGCCAACATTCAAAATTTGAGTCAATTTTCGGTTTTTAATAAATTTAATTGACTGTTTTTGTCGCAATCTTCTGAAGGAAAGTAGAGACTGTGAATGGGATTGTTTTGTGAATTTGTGATGAAAAGAGGAACTGGTGGTGAAAAGGTTAAAGCGAGGGAGTTGTCACCTACGCATGCGTCAGATGGCCATAGCGTGTCATATGAGCCTTTGCGTTTTTAACATGTGTTGTTATCGTCACTTGGGACTGCACGTGCGCAGGTGACACCCTCCCGCTTTAATATATGATTGATTGATTACTATCTTATCGTACCTGTAGTTGACGGTAAATGGGGTACATGGAATTCATGGCAAATGTGTAGTAAATCATGTGGTACTGGCAAACAAACCCGTGAACGTACATGTTCCAATCCAGCTCCACGACACGGTGGTAGACCATGTGATGGACAGGATAAACAGGAGAACTACTGTAACACTGAGGGATGTCCAGGTAAGACCCAATTTAAAGTCGCTGTGACTCCCCAGGACACCAGTGAAAATCACTGACTGTCTGGAACCTAAGTGAAAATCACTGTAACTCTAGGACGCCAGTGAAAGTCTCTGTGATGCCTCAGGACCTGTGTGATAGACTATGTCTCCCTAAAACCCCACTGAAAGTCTCTTTGACTCCCTAAAACCCCAGCAAAATTGTCTGTGATTCCCTAGGAGCTCAGTGAAACTTTCTGTGACTACTTAAGACCACTGTGAAAGTCTATGTGACTCACCATGATCCCATTCGAAGTCGTTGTGATTCCCTAGGCACTCTGAAAGTCACTATGACTTCCTGAGTCCTCAGTGAATGTTGCTGTGACTTCTTATTTTTAAATTGCAAAATGTTTAAAAAAGATTGCAGGGGCCCGTGGGCGTTGAATGAAGTCCTTTCAAATCAGATAATAGCGTGATGCGTGATGTTAGCATACGGAATTAACACCTTCCGTTGAAATGATATCAGCAGTGTACCAAGTAAACAACTGGGCGGACCATGCAAATTATGCACTGGTGCAATCCCTGGGATTGCGGAGCCGTGCTTTAAAGTGCCTGTGCAATGCCCACCCTCATGTTTCCCATTTTAGATCTGTGTTCCACTGAAATGGCCAGTTATTGATTTTTTTGCCGAAAATTATTACTCGTATCCGAGTAAATTTGGGATATTTCTCGTGTTGTAGCCACGCCCACCTATCTTGAAACGATCGACTGTTTCCGGATTTCCGACTATCTCCGAAAGTGCGCCACCAAATGCCAAAATGGGAGAGGAAGTCATACCCCTGAGCCGTAATAACACTGGTCATTCAGTATACTTTTAAACGATATACATTTTTCGGTAGGCGTTTTTTTTCTTTTATTTGTCTATTTTATTTTTTTGAGAGACAGTTTTTAGATGTTGTGTTGTGGGCAGTTGCAGTGAAACGTATAGTCATAGTGTAAGTATTCACACGTTTCTAATCGATCCGAAGGTGCGACATCAGTGGACGAAAGCCACTTAACCTCAGATTCTTTTTTGTTGTTGAAAAACTGTCTTCGTTCATGAAAAAACAACTAGGTTTAAAGAGAAACGCCGACAACATAAACCTGGCGCAACACTTTTGAAAGAAATAGATTCCCAACCATGATCACCGAGGCGGATTTCAGAAGAGAGAGAGAGATGTCCGGCAAGTGTTTCAAATGAGTTGACTTTTTTTGCAATCCTGAATATCGTTTTATAGAGACCATTTAGTCCCTGTTAAGTAAAAGGTAAGCCGATAATTTTGACA